ATATACTTTGCAGATCTGACAAAAAAAATAGGTATAGTTTGGATTCATTCACACTAAATGGCTATTGTGTTGGCTCTTGTCATTTTCTTTATTTGACAATCCAAGGGGGGGGGGAGTCAGTATTCCTGACCAAAAAGTAGGGTATTGCATATTTTAAAAATTCTGGCATGCCCTGACTGGTGTGGGTCAGTGGGTTTGGCATCATCCCATAAATAGAATGGTTGCCAGTTTCATTCCCACTCGGGGCACATACCTGGGTTGTAGGCTAGGTCCCTAGCTGGGGGTGTGCAAGAGGTAACTGATTGATGTTTTTCTCTCTTTCTCCTTCCCTTCTCCTCTCCCTAAAATATATTTAAGAAAATAAAAATAAAATTCTGGTGGTACAGCAGTTGAAAATCGCTTGTCTAGACAGCTGTTTTTAACCTCTATAGAATAAAGTGAAAGTCTAGGCATCGCCTGTTTACCTTGGGATCTTGCTCGAAATGCTGGTGGAAAGGCTGTTGCACATCACTTCCCTGGGGCACTCCCAGTGGAGTCAGGCAGTACCGAAGGCGTTTGGTGGGGTGGTTCCATGGGAGGGCTTCCCTTCCGATGGCCAGGGCCAGGTTTTCCTGCACCTGTAATTCTGGGTTTGTTGTCCCATGCAGTATCGTGAGGAGCGCTTTCGTCTGACCAGTGAGAGCACCAACCAGAGGGTCCTGTGGTGGTCCATCGCTCAGACCGTCATTCTCATCCTCACAGGCATCTGGCAGATGCGTCACCTCAAGAGCTTCTTTGAGGCCAAGAAGCTGGTGTAGTGTCCTCCCCATATGACCTCTCACCTCAGTTATTTGGTACTTACCCACCTGGCTTGCGAGGGGAAAAAATGAAAAAAGAATATAAACCACATTGGTTCCCTAGCAGCAAAGCCTCCCAATCAGCCACTTGTTAACACAGGTTCTCAAGGACATAGGACATTGGTCCGAGATTTCAGAAACATCCTGGGGTTTGTGCACAGTCAGAACTGACCCGGAACTACATCTTGCTTCTTCGGCCTCCATTGATTTCCTCTTCATCCTGTCACAAAATGAGCAAATGACAAGTCTGCCTTGTGACTTGTCTTCATCTACTCAGCAGTAGGTGGTGGAAATGCCCTACCCAAGAGGCCCACCTCCTCGCCCCTGTCAGCCCTGGGTTCACTCAGTGGCTTTGTGAATGTAAATAAGGGGCCGAGGCCCTACAGGATTGAAAAGTTTTTCTATGTATTAGAACTATTTTTTGATAAATTATATATTTTCCTTCCTAGTTGAAGTGTCACTGCCTGTGTGACTAGCTGAAAACTAGTGCAGGCTGTCTGCATTCTGAGTCTACACATTTTTGGGAACTGCTGTGGCAGCTCTCAGAGTTCAGCGGTCGGCGGGCTGGAAAGCAGACGTCCCAGCTACAGTCCAGGCTTACCCGAGGGCCAGGCAGAGACCCCTCTGGGACACTTGAGGGTTCGTTATGGGGCCTCGGGAAGAGCTTGAGCACGAGAGCACGCACAGGGCAGGGTGCTCCAGCCCTCCCACTTCCCTTGCCCTTTATTTAAGCTATGGTGACTTTTCATGGAACAAGGGTGGGTTCTTCACACAGATTTTTCCAGTGAAATAAAATGTGTTGTACTGGCTATCTTTGAAATGAAATGAGAGGTTGTGGGCAGAGGGGAGGCACCCTGGGGGAAGTGGAGGTGAGGCCGCTGGCCTGAACTCCCTCTGCAGAATGGACCAGAGGGGTGGGCTTGTGGTGCTTAGGCCCAGCCTGACCTCAGGCTTGGTGTATGGGTACACGAGTGGTCACTTAGTCTCAGGTCATGTGAAGGGTTAAGTCCTGGGACCATAAGTATAACCACGCTCCCTTCATGCTGTCTGCTCTGGAAAACAATGCCATTAATTTTATTCCATGGTCTTGTTTATTTGACCTGCAGAACTATATTCTTTCATGTTTTCTTATGTTCTATACTACATATTTATATGGAGTAAAAATATTTGCGATTTAGATTTATAGGCATTGTCATTCAGTATTTTTGAAATTATACATGTTCCACATTTCTAATTCTGGATGGCTGTGTTAACAGCCCTGGGAATGGAAATGCCATAATTGACATACCCAAATTTTTTTATGTTTATTTTAAAAAGCAGGATCTTTTATAATACTATGTATTTTTAGGGAGGGAGAAAGGGAGAGAAACACTGATCAGTTGCCATTCATACGCACCCTGACTGGGGACCAAACCTGAAACCCAGGCATGTGCCCTGATTGGGAATTGAACTGGTGACATTTCCCTTTGTGGGATGATGCCCAACCAAGCTGCACCAGTTAGGGCAGTATATTTAAAATTGTTTCCAGTTTTCTTTGTGTTACAGTAAACTGGAAATTGGAGCCAGCTGGTTGTGTAGGCCACTGGCCTGAGACTGGGGGAAGGGAACATGTACATGTCTGCTCTGTGGCTGATACTAGGAGTCCAGCCAGTAAAGCCAGTCTGGCCTGTGGCAGGACTGGAATTTCCAGGCAAGAGCTGAGGCTAGCTCTCACCGTCCGCCAGTGGTGGACACGACTGCATCTCATGTGGACTGGTTGGTTGGGCAGTTTGTGGCAGGAAGGGGAGTGGAGTGAGCACAAACGTGGGATTGCATCACACTCCCGGAAGGGAGGGGGTGCAGGTAGGCACTTCTGTACTGCTGAGTGTCTTCACAGACACATTACAGCCTAAAAGTTTTTTTTCAGTTAGGCTTCATTCATGGTATTGTAGCGACCCCATCCCCCACCACATACTACCCTGATTCCCTTCCTGAAACTGTTTCTAAGACCACAATGTCCCACCAAACAGCCTTTACCTCTGTACCACAAAAAGATTTTTTATGTAGCATTTTAAAAAAATATTTATTTTTCGAGAGAGGGGCAGGGAAGGAGAAAGAGTGGGAGAGAAATATCAATGTATGGTTGCCTCTTATGCATCATCCCCTGCTGGGAACTGGCCTGCAACCCAGGCATGTGCCCTGACTGGGAATTGAACCGTGATACTCTGGTTCACAGGCCCGTGCTCAATCCACTGAGCTACACCAGCCAGGGCTCACAAAAAGATTTTTTAAAAGGGTGGGGAGCCAATCTGATGTCTTGTCATCCTGGCTGGGTTCCAGGCTCTCACTGGGACTGCAGGCCCCATGTCTATCTTTGGTCACTTGGTCCCACTATCACTTGACCCATGGTGTGCAAACTGCTCTCTGTTCTCACCCTCATTTCTGGTAGTCTTACTGGGTCCATGTCAGAGCTGATGCAAAGAGCCATTTGGGAAACAGATTCCTGAGCTTCACCCAGGTCCAGGCTGACAAAACAGGTTCATGTGGTTGCAGGATGATGGCCCTCCAGTGATGCCTGTGTCCTAATCCCTGGGACTTGTGATTGTCACCTAACAAGGCAAAGGGGACTTCAGGCTGCTAACAGCAGATTTTAAAGGGCAGCTCATCTTGGATTATCTGGGTGTGCCCAGTGTCCTCATGAGTTTCCTGAGGAGGGAGGCAAAGGAAGGTCAGTGAAACGATGTGAGGACTCAACCACCTTTGCTGGCTTTTAAGATGGATGGAGGAAGGGGGCCACTGGCTGGGCTGGGAAAAGCCAGGCAGGAATTGTCCCTCGTCTCCCAAAGGGAAGGCAGCCTGCCAACAGCATGATTTCAATCCCGTGAGACCTTGTCAGACTTCTGACCTATAAAACTGTAAGTACCGGTGATAAATTGGTACTGTTTTAAGCCACTAAGCTTATAGTAAATCAGCAGGAACAGCAAACTAACACTGGTAGAAACCAAGAATCCTCATTTCCTTTCAATCCTCACCTGAGGATGTGTTTATTGACTTTTTGAGAGTGGAGAAGAGGGAGAAACATCGATGTGACAGAAACATAGATTGGTTGCTTCCCACAAGTGCTTGGGGCACCCGGGGATGAAACCCACAATTCTTTGGTGTAGAATGCGCCAACCACCATCTGGGGCAACAATCCTCATCCTCATTTTCATTTTTTTAAAGCATATTTTTAAAAAGATTTTACTTATTTATCTTTAGAGGGGAAGGGAAAGAGAGAAATATCAATGTGTGGTTGCCTCTCATGAGTCACCTGCTGGGAACTGGCCTACAACCCAGGCATGTGCCCTGAAAGGGAATCAAACCGCAATCGCCTCAATCGTGTGGTTCACAGGCCCGCGCTCAATCCACTGAGCTATGCCAGTCGGGGCCTCATCCTCATTTTAACCAAGCTGTGCAGGTAACTAATGGGCAACCAGGTTAGGAACCCCAGGCACACCTACCTCCCTTTTTTGTCTCATGCTACTCATTCTTCCAATCCTTGTCCTGGCACAGTCCAATTGCCTTTCCTTTAGACCGTCTTGTGGCTCTGAATCTCAGCCAGCTTCTTGGTGGCCTCTACCATATTCTGCCACACCCACTGTCAGTTGCGTTCTACTCAGAAAGCTGTTGTCCCCGCTCATGTTCCTGTGTCCCCACCACTGCTACAGACCCTGGAACTTCTCTGCGGGGAACTCTTCCTGACCGCAGAAGGTGGAGCAACCAGCGCTCATGCAGACCCTGACGGCAGGGCAGGCGAGGGTGCTCCCAAGAAGCTACCACGGGCCGCACTCCTGCTCTTCGGGAGCCACGCTCAGTGGGGCTCAAAGACCGGCTAACGAAGATAAAGCCACAACCTGTAACTACTTGCAAGCTATCTATCCCGTGGGGCGGCGAAGGCAAGCAGAGGGACCACACCCACCGCAGGAAACCCCAACCCAGCGAGCGTTAGCAGGCGGTGTCAGAGGGCGGCAGGGGAGCCGTGGCGGTCTCTAGCGACCACGGGCTCCCTATCAGCTCTGGTCGGAATCCCGGGCTTGTGGCACCAGCAGAGCCGCAACGCCCCGCCTGAAGCCTGGGCATTAGCTCATCTGAGAGTGATAGCTCCTCCGACGCTCATTGGTTGTTGCTTTGACCCGCCTGGGCGCCGCAAGCTTTTCGTGTTGCGCATGCGCGATGTCACTAAGGAGCTCCAGCATGGCCGACTCTGAGCATCTAGGCTTTGAACACATGGGTCTTGACCCGCGGCTGCTGCAGGTACCGCGGGGACTAAGGATCAGGGCCGGTGTGGCGGGCGGCAGCGGGGACGCGGCAGGCTGTGAAGCCGGGCCGGCCTGGCTGGGGGCCACTCTAGGGTGCGCGCCGCGTGAGTCGCCCCTCGTCTCTTCTAGGCCGTCACCGACCTGGGCTGGTCACGGCCCACACTGATCCAGGAAAAGGCCATCCCGCTGGCCCTGGAGGGGAAGGACCTCCTGGCTCGGGCCCGCACTGGCTCTGGGAAGACGGCTGCCTATGCCATTCCGATGCTGCAGCTGCTGCTCCACAGGAAGGCGGTGGGTCGCGGCAGGGGCCCAAAGGTGGGAGGGGAGATACAGGGGTCTGAATGCTCGTCGTACCCTTTTGGAAAGGCGTGTGGTTGTCACCGGTCTTTCCCAAGAACCAGGCTTTCTTGTGGCCTCTTAAACCTGTGAGGGATGGCCCGAGAGAGCCTGGTGCTGTCCTGGCAGACTGGGCTGGACTCCAAGTCACCTGGGTCTTAGTCCAAACTCCGCTACTACCACTGTGATTTTGAGTAAGTCTTCTTTCTGCTGTAAAAATCACCGCCCGCCCCCATTCCTTATAGGCTATGATGAAACACCAACTGCATAATTGGTGCATTTTAAGTAACTTGATAACCCTGAAGTAAGTTAGTCTTTGAGGGTCAGCGCTTGGGAAAGAGCCCTCTTGTTCCACATCCTGAGGTGCAGAGAAGTAAGCACCGAGTCATTTGGAAGTCATAGCAGTTGGGTCAAAGTGTCTTGAAGAGTTAGAGAAAGCACCAGTTAGCCACAGTGATGGGGACGGACTATCTGAAGTCTTCAGTTTGTGCTCTTTCAGTCGGGCCCCGCAGTGGAGCAGGCTGTGCGCGGCCTTGTCCTCGTGCCTACCAAGGAACTGGCTCGGCAGGCCCAGTCCATGATTCAGCAGCTGGCTGCCTACTGTGCCCGAGACATCCGGGTGGCCAATGTCTCAGCCACAGAAGACTCAGCCTCTCAAAGGTGGGAGAAAGAACCAGGGCTGTGGGGGAATGAAGCTGCACAGAGATGTGGGATTGGGTTTATGTGTAGCCAGGAAGGAAGGGGGCTGGTCCTGGGAGAGGTCCTAGCTGTACCTCCTCCCAACACTGAGGTGTTGCCTGCCTACAGAGCTGTGCTGATGGAGAAGCCCGACATAGTGGTGGGGACCCCTTCTCGCATAGTAAACCATGTGCAACAAGGTAGCTTGAAGCTGCAGGACTCCCTAGAGCTGCTGGTGATGGATGAGGCTGATCTTCTTTTCTCCTTTGGCTTCGAGGAAGAGCTCAAGAGTCTTCTCTGGTGAGGAAGAGGCATGTGGGGGCTGTGAGTCAACACCAGGGCTTGGGGCAGGGGGCCAGAAGCTGCCACAATTAGAGGCCTGTGGAGCTGGAGTCTGATGGAGGTCTGTTTTGTTTTAGTCACTTGCCCCGGATTTATCAGGCTTTTCTGATGTCAGCTACTTTTAATGAAGATGTACAGACACTCAAGGAGCTGGTGCTGCATAACCCGGTGAGTGCCCTGTGCAAGTGTCTGGAACAGCTGACATGTGATTCTCTTGAGGACTTGATCCTCCCTGCTCCCTGCTCAGGGGTTTTTTGGGGGGACAGTTGTTACTGGTTTAACCTTCTGTTTTTAAAGCACTACGAGCCAGTATTCATCAATACCATCCTCCCTTTAAATCTAAAGTCACTGTACAGTTCCAGAGGTCCCTTAGGGGTTTATATGATAGTTCACCTGAGCAGGGACCTCAAGTGGCAGAAAGGCTGCCTTTAGCAGCAGGTGAAAGTTCTCTACTTTGTAACCTTTGCTTTTCTGACAGGCTGCTGCTGTAGGATGCCCCTCCTCACTCCAGTCGTTTGTTTGTTTCTCTGTGTTCTGTTCCCCAAATGCTTTGCATGTAACTTTACATTCTACATATTAGGGACCTTTGACTCCATACATCAGCTGGAGGGAACCCATGGTGCCATGAACTAGCACATTTGCACTGTGGTTGGTGAGCCAGTGGCTTGCGATAGCATTTCTCTCCTCTTTCCTGACCACAGGTCTGTCCCCCCAGGTCACTCTCAAGTTGCAAGAGTCCCAGCTGCCAGGGCCAGAGCAGTTACAGCAGTTTCAGGTGGTCTGTGACACAGAGGAAGACAAATTTTTGTTGCTGTATGCCCTGCTCAAGCTCTCGTTGATTCGGGGCAAGTCCCTGCTCTTCGTGAACACTCTGGAGCGGAGTTACCGGCTGCGCCTGTTCCTGGAGCAGTTCAGCATCCCTGCCTGCGTGCTCAATGGGGAGCTCCCCCTGCGCTCTAGGTGTGCTGCAGTGGATGTCTCAGCTGAAACACATTGAAGATGGGCTTGGAGAGGGGAGATGCACTTGATGTTCTTGTTTCTTAAGTGCTTAGAGGCCAGGTTTTGGGCTTAATTGATAGTGACTTTGTCACAAACTCTGAGAGACCCACTGTTGCTCTGTCTTCAGCTGAGGGGTTGAGTCATTAAGATAAAGCAGGAGGAGAGTTTAAGAGGAGGGAGAGCCAGAGGATGATGGTCACAGCAGTGCTGGGGTGGATGAGCTACTGGGGTTGACCCTCCCCTTTTGGCTCATAGGTGCCACATCATCTCACAGTTCAACCAAGGCTTCTACGACTGTGTCATAGCAACTGATGCTGAAGTCCTCGGGGCCCCAGTCAAAGGCAAGCGTCGGGGCACAGGGCCCAAGGGGGACAGGTGAGCCCATGCTTCTGTCCTCCATGCCTCCCCAGGGAGACAAATCAGGGTGCTAGAGTGGGGAGCCAGGCGTCTCTGCCAGCATAGCCCACAGAGCCCCTGCTTGGCTGCTGGGCCTGGAGAAAGGCAGTGAAGGGCACGCATGGTCCCTGGTGGCAAAAGGGGCTGGGCTGTCTGGGTTGTTGGAGCACTGGCTGGCACGGGGAGATGGCGCAGCCTGCTCTGGGTGCAGTTGTGACTTGTGGGGAGGGTACTTCTGAGGGGCAAAGGGAGTCTGGAGTGTGTCTTCCTGATAGGGTTCTCAGATCACTGCATGGGGCAGTTAGTTTCGCTGATGCCCCAGAGCCGAGGTCAGGGCTGAGGTGTGGCTGCCCCACTACCCTGCTCCTGGACCAGTTCTGAAGGTCAAGTCTTACACTCTTAGGTCCCGTGGCTCCACACAGCTTTGTTTGGAGACTCGGTGGATTCAATGGGCATGAGAACTTGGTCCAGGGAGTGCCAGGGTGAGTCTGTTGTGGTGTTCCCTGCAGGGCCTCTGACCCAGAAGCAGGTGTGGCTCGAGGTATAGACTTCCACCACGTGTCTGCTGTGCTCAACTTTGACCTCCCCCCCAGCCCTGAGGCCTACATCCACCGTGCTGGCAGGTAGGGGGGCTGGGTGTGGCAGGCTGGGCACCAGGTCTGTGGGCTCCCCCAGGATGCAGGCCTGAAGCATGAGCGGGGCTGTCTCTCCTTGCAGAACGGCGCGTGCCAATAACCCAGGTGTAGTCTTGACCTTCGTGCTGCTGACAGAGCAGTCCCAGCTGGGCAAGATTGAGGAGCTTCTCGGTGGAGGTAAAAGCCAGGGTCAAGCTTCACCCAGGATGCCACGGAGCTGGGACACTAGTGTGACCAGCCACCACCTACCTGCTTGTCCCTGCTCACTCCAGGTCCCTTGCTCCATCCCCACCCTGCCCTCAATAGCAGGCACTGCCCCCATCACAGATGAGCAAGCTCAGGTCCAAGTCACATGTACTTCCTGCCCCAGCGACAAAAGGGCCAGGGGCAGGGAAGAGGGTTTGGGAGACGGCAGCAAGGCTGGCAGTGTCTCAGGAGGCAGCCTTGGGAAAGGGTGCAGTCTTGGGGCAGCCAGGCTCTGGCCCAGGCTCTGAGAAGGAGATGGTGGAGGAGGGTTGGGCGAGGGCCTACCACTAGGACATTAAGGGCGTGGGGTCCAGAGTGGCCTTGGGGAAGGAGAGTAAGGGGCTGGGCAGGTCCTGAGGATGAGGGGTGTGGTGGGCACTGGGGACATGGGGCATTGGGCCACCCTACCCTGGCTGCAGCACCTAGAGAACTGTTGAAGCTGTTGGCAAGACCCAGGTTTCTCGCTGCATGTGCAGATCACATTGCAGGGAGCGGGCTGGCAGTGCCCGCTCATGAGGGTGGGGGGTGTGGGCAGTTGCAGGTTTGTGGCCTGGGTGTTGCTCATGGTTGCTTCGCCACAGAGACTGGGGCCCCTGCTCTGCTCCCCTACCAGTTCCGCATGGAGGAGATCGAGGGCTTCCGCTACCGCTGCAGGGTGAGTGGGCTGGGAGGGTGGGTGCAGTGGGTTCCTGGGGGAGGGGGACCCTGGCTGCACCAGTGCCCTGACCCTCGGTGTCTGCCCAGGACGCCATGCGCTCCGTGACTAAGCAGGCCATCCGAGAGGCGAGGCTGAAGGAGATCAAGGAAGAGCTTCTGCACTCGGAGAAGCTGAAGGTAAGGGTGCTGAGCCCAGGCTGAGGCCTCGGTGGTGGGTGGGACTTGCGGAGCCATCTCTTTGGCTAGAGGTGATTCCGTGGAGGACAGTGGCCTTCTTTGCCACCATGACAGAGTCTGTGAACATGCATGTTATGCGTGTGCCTGAGCTAGTCCCAGTGTTGTGTCCAGAAGCGGGCACACTTGAGCGCCCCCCCACCACAGAGACGCACTGAGCAAAGTGGGGAGTGCTGCACAGACCAGGAGGAGGGGCTGTGTGTGTGTCAGTGCTGGGATAGCCTGGGATGGTGCCAAGGGATGGGTGCGCTGTGCTACTGTGTGCCACCGAATGCTCCACAGAAAAGGCAGTGAGTGTGGTGGGGGACGTGAGATCCCATCGGCGGCTGCATCTGGGAGGGACCAGGTGATCAGCACAGGCAGTGGGAAACCCTGCTTTGTAAACTCCAAGCATGAGTTGCCCCCTGGGAACTCTGGGATACTACACACAGGCACGCCCTGCAGTGCTCTCCTCCTGTTCCCCTCAGACGTACTTTGAAGACAACCCCAGGGATCTCCAGCTGCTGCGGCATGACCTGCCCTTGCACCCCGCTGTGGTGAAGCCTCACCTGGGCCACGTCCCTGACTACCTGGGTGAGTGGGCCCTGGGCAGGTGGTGGTGCAGTGGGTCCTGGGCGCTGGGCGCTGGGCTGCTGGGACCTCTTAGCCCAGTGACATCGTGTGCACAGACACACGCAGACCCACTCACCTTGTATCCCCAATGCGTGTTACTCTGGGGACAGGTGGCACAAGGAGCACAGAAAGAGCCCCATCTGTGTCATGTCAGAGCAAAGTCATTTGCCAGCAGTGTGGAGCCTGGCCAGACAGGGCTGTGCTTGCACTGAGGGTAGGTGCGGGTGAGGGCAGAGGCCAAGGCTCCTGCTGCAGGCAGGAGTGACGGAGCTGATAGGTGAGGATGGATGTGTGGGGAGAGGCGACCAGTCTGGATGCATTTGTGGTGACGCACCACACGTGCGAGGATCGCAGGTTTTTTCTGTTTTAGCAGCATTTCCTTTTTCAGAAACATACTGTCTTTTTTTTTTTTCTGTTATGTGATTATTGCAGCAGCCTCTATGAGAACAAATAGCATTGTGGGCACTTGACCATGGACTGGAGTGTGGCTTTGGGCCACAATGGGGGAGAGCCCGCTTGGGGGGCCTGGAGGGCGTGTGGGTGCAGAGGGGTTGGCCAAGGGCTGGGCGGCAGCTGCTGAGGCTTCTTGTCTCTTACAGTCCCTCCTGCTCTTCGTGGCCTGGTTCGCCCTCACAAGAAGCGGAAGAAGGTGTCCTCTAAGAAGGTCAAGGTATGTCCCCTCATCACCATGGTGTGCATGCTTTGGAGGAGAGTGGCTCCAACAACTGGCCCTAAACTCCTGGCTCCCAGGTCAAAGTCATGGGGGCTGGGACTCCCTCAACCCCCCCACCTGTGTCTTCAGGAGCAAAGGAGGACTGGCTTTCTGTCCCCCTGCCCTCCACTCCCCTCCCAGCTGTAGGGGGGAGGTGGGCCAGAGGCTGCAGGATGTGGCGGCCACAGTAGCATCTTTCCTGGGCGCCTGGATTGCAGGGCCTTGAAGTGGCGGCACCACCCACTTCTCAGCCTGTCTCAGTTTGGGCATTTGACGTCCAACTCCCCCTGCTGACCTGTGACCTCTTTCCACAGAAGGCAAAGGCCCAGAACCCACTGCGCAGCTTTAGGCACAGAGGAGAGAAGCACAGACCCACGATGGGGCCCTCCTGAGTCTGTCCAGGCAGTCTGTGTGTCTTCCGGGGCTCCCAGGGCCAAGCATGGTGGGAAGTGGACATTCCCTTGGACAGACTGGATTCCTGCCCTGGAGGGACACCCTGGGTCCTGGGCAGGCGGACTGTGGCCTCTAGGCCCGTGGCACTGCCAGGCCAGCGTTTGTGCCTTACAGACAATAAAGGTTCTTGCTGCCTTGGTTTGGGCCTCCTGTAGGTGGGAAGGGGCTACCCCCAAAACTGCTTCTGGGAGGGAGTGCCTGGTCCTGCCAGTTGTGTGCAGTCCCTTTGGCCAGCAGGGGTCAGCCGTGTGACGCTGTAGCCTGGGGCCTTTAGGCTCTGGGAGACACCTGCCCTGTCCAGGTCTCTTTCCAGCCCACACCTGCTCCTGCAGCCTCTGTTTGGGGTCTTGCTGACCAGTTTCTATCCCTTGAAGCTTGGAAATGACATTTCACCCACAGGGAGGACAGGCCTTCCTCACCTTGAGCCTGCTGCCTCCCCCTCCATGTGGTAGATGCAGCCCTCCAGTACCTTGCTGCTCCCGTCAGCACACCTGCATGTGCTCTCAGTGCCTGGGGTGGGGGTGAGGGGCATTGTTTACATGCATTGTTCTTTGCTCTGCATTGGGCCATGAGGCTCTGACAAGAGAGGGTTTCCCTGTCAGGCCGGCTGCCCAGCTCCTGCTGTGCAGACGATGGGCCCTGCTAGCTGCCCTTGGTTGTGCTCCTCATCCCAGTATCTCCTCCACCTGCTCAGTGGGCCTTGCAGGCTGGGCTGTGGAGGTGGGGAGCTGGTGTGGGCCTGGGGGCACTGGGACACAGTCGGGGAGAAAGCCCACTGGCCCGGGCGTTTCAGAAGGAAAACCCGCTGTGGTGTCAGCACAGGCGGTATGCATGGGGTGAGTGCCGACACTTGGTCATTGCTAGGGTGGGTCCCCCAGCTTTTCCTGCCCTGGGTCTGCTTGGAGGACTTTTGGAGACCAGGCTATGTGTAGGGGGAAGAGGTCTCTGCTTGGGGGATCATGTGGCTGTAGTGAGACAGCAGCCAGAGCAGTGCACCAGGGCGCCCATGTCCCCTGTGGCTCAGGTGTTCTTGGAGGAATGAGTAATATGGTGAATAAGAATGGCAGCTTTACAGCATCTGCTGGGTCCCCTTGGGGCAACCCCCCTGGCAGCATAGAAGGAAGCGGGCTCACACCTTCCCCCCCTGCTTTGCAAGGCAAGCTAAGAGGCGAGGCCTGGCCCCAGACACGGGTTTGCTCTGGAGCAGTGCAGCCACGTTGCCCTGTACCTGCTCCTCTGACCCGCCACCGCTGTCCCTCCTGGCCAGTGGCCTGTGTCTCAGAACCAGTGTGGATATAGGAGACGGGCCACTTGGGCTTCAACAGTGACGGCCCTTCTGGAAGGGGGCTCTTCATTGGTCTGTGTCTCTGCATGGGGCTGGGTGCAGGCCTGGTGGCTACACTGCACGGTGCACTGTGGGCCAAAGCATGTGCCTCAGTTGGCACGCACGTGCTCCTGTGGGGGCTGGGGCAGAGGAGCAAGCTCCTGGCGCAGGGGTCCTAGTGTGAGGAGGCTGGGCAGGCTTGCCGTCTATTCGAAGCACTGCTGTTCCTCTCCCCACCACACCCTAGGGAGCTGACCTTGCCTGGTTACCTTTCCTGAGCTGGAGCAGGCCCTGACATTGGGTGGGGTGTGGACCAGCCCGGGCTCCGGGTGCCCAGGTGTCTCATTCTGGCCCTGCACAACCCCTTTGCATGTGGGGGAGCTGAGGCTGCTCAGTGAGTGCCGGAAAGGTGCATGGATCTGGACGTCCAGGGGTGGGGCCAGCTTGCTGTAGCTCAGCTGACTGAGCAGCAGATAAGTGGTGGTTCCCAGGGTGACCCAGTGGGACCAAGGGCAGGGAGGTTGGTGGAGTCCCAGGACCATCCCCACCTCTGGTAGGTGTAGTCACATCCACACCTGACTGGGCACCCTGTGCCAGGGACTGGAAGCGTTGGCAGGCTCAGCCTTGTGTGGGAGAAGCTTTGGGGGATCAAGAATCAGTCCTCAATCTGCCTTACCTCCCAGGGCCCAAGAAGCACCCATCTATGCTGCAACACCTGTTGGGGCCAGCCAGGTGCAGGCGCTCAGCTGAGGGCCAGTGAGTGTGGGTGGAGCTGGGTAGCCACCCTTTGGGATGTCCAGGGTGCCAGGAGAGCTCTGCAGGGTATCCCCTGGCTGGAAGGGTCCTGGAAGCTGTCTGTCAGGTGACTGAGCCTGGAAGAGTGGGAGGGACCAGCAGCCCAGAGGGACCAGCAGGTGGCAGTGTTGGGTATGTGTGTGTTTGGGGGGGGGGCAGCCCAGCATGTCTGAGGGTGCAACGAAAACTGAAGGGGTCACAAGTGGGCTGAGAAACTGGCTGGGTGTGCGAACAGGTGCAGCTGATCTCTAGGCAGGGTGTGCCCCTATCAGATGGCCTTAAGCCTCAGTGATAACGGCACAGAAACCTCTGGACCCAGAGCACAAGCAGGGTCAAGTGCATTTCCCAGTCCAGCTAATGCCCCATCTGCTGAGGATCAGTGACTCAGCTTTTGGAGAACTGTTGGTTTGGGGACTTTGGTCTCCAGGGGCAGTGTTCCCAGGAGGAAGTGGCCAACAGCTTGAAATTGTGCAGGAAGGTGCCTCTGCCACATGCCCTTTTTCCTCCAGGAAGAAGCATGTGGACAGCCCACCTTGGGGAGGGGTGCTGCGAGCCAGCTGTCCTGCATTGGTCACGGCCATTTTCACCCAGAAAAGAAGTCATCCACTGGCAGGGGCAGATGCTCCGGCCCAGCTTCCTTTTCACTGTGCAGGGGGCCATGTGAGTCAGACTCTCTCCTCCCAGGGCATCCCCTGCAAGCCCACTGGGAAGCAGTCTTTGTGGTGCCCGGGATGTGCTGCCCAGCCTCCAGGGAGATGCCTTGCTCTTGGCCTGCTCCAGGGCCTCCTCTGTAGGAGGAGTGATGTTCCCCATTGAGTGTTTTCAGTTCGGGGTGCACATCCAAGCCAGCTCTGACACAAGGTCCTTAAGCTGTCACGTGCCTTCGAATCACAGCAGCTTGTTAGGGTGAGACGCCCCAGCCAGGCTGGGCCAGAATCTGATCTACACTCCTGACGACCTCCTCCCCAGGAAGGCTGATGCTCCTGGGCCCAGAGCACCCTCAGGAGCTGAGTGGTGATGTCTGTGCACCCATCCCATTTTACAGATGGGGGAATAGCCCCAGGGAGTAAGTTGCCGGCCTCACACCCTCTGGCTCAGGGGCCGAGTAGGAAGTTGTTCAGATCTGTGGGTCCCAACCTGGAATCTGGGGTGCGGCTGGGTTCAGCCTGTCCTGTTCCTTCCGCCTCAGCTTCCCCCCTGCGGTTCTATGATGGGGCATGACCCTTCAGCATATGTACATCTGAGTCAGTACTTGTGATAATATTAAGCAATGATGCGTTTATCTGGAACTCAAACCTGGCTGGTGCCCTGGCTCACTCTTGCTAAATCTGGCAACCCTGGTTGTAGGACCCTCTTATCCAGGCACTGCTTCCCCTCAGGAGCCTTCCTGAGCCCCAGCCAGGGCCAGCTGCCCTTTTCTCAGTGTTACCTGGGGTTAGTTTTGTTCCGTTTCGAGTCTGAGCACAGCAGTACCTGCTTATTCCTCACTCCCAGCCAAGTGGCATGAGGCTATGCACATGGCCCCAGGGTGTCTTGCACACAGCTTGTGGGAGCTGGGGGTGGGGGGTGGCAAGAATGGTACCCGTTTCCTAACATCATGTCATGGGTCTGTGCTCTGGTGCCTGGCGGCTGCTTCTGACCAAAGAGGAGGCAGCCATTGCTGCACCTCCACCCTTGTAGCAAGACCCTCTCCTTTTGGCTCAAGTGACTTCCAGGGAATTAAAAGGACCAGTGACCTTTTATTCCCTCTTTCATTTTTTACTTTCCCCTCCTTCAGAAGCCAGACATTAAAAACTAGGGGATTCAAACACGGCTGCACATGCAGGGGAAATTAGAAAGTGACTCCACAAGCCCAGGGAGCGGCTCAGAAAAGACCTGAGAAGACCTTAGATTTACACTTCAGGCTGATCTTGGCATAGTGACATCCTACCACAAATTTTTTTAATATTTTACTTATTTATTTTTAGAGAGGGGGGTCAGGAAGGAGAAAGAGTGGGAGAGAAACATCAATGTATGGTTGCCTCTCATGTGTCCCCCGCTGAAGACTTGGCCCGCAACCCAGGCATGCGCCCCAACTGGGAATTGAACTAGCAGCCCTTTGCTTTGCAGGCCCATGCTCAATCCACTGAGCTACACCAGTCAGGGCCACAATTAAAAAATATATATATTTTAAAAAGATTTTAGAGAAGGGGGAAGGGAGAGAGAAAGAGAGAGAGAAACATCAGTGTGTGGTTGCCTCTCAAGTGCCCCCTATCAGGGATGCAGCCAGCAACCCAGGCATGTGCCCTGACTGGGAATTGAACTGGTGTCCTTTGGTTTGCAAGCTGGCACTCAATCCACTGAGCCACACCAGCCAGGGCCAATTTTTTAAAAAGAAATAAAACCAATAAGAAACCCCAGGGAGGGGGAAGAATCTGATTCCCAGATTTATTAAATTCAAATGTTCATTACACAACAAAAACAAAAACCACAAGGTCCACAAAGAAACTGGAAACTGTGGCCCACACAAAGAAAAAAAGTAAGTCAACAAACTGTGGAAAAGGCTTGATGGCAGTTGTACTAGCCACAAACTTTCAAACAACCATCTTAAATATGCTCATAAAACTGAAGGAAGGTTAGAGAAGGTTAAGAAAATATTGTGTGGAAATTCTGAATGGGAAAAAAAGATCCAATAGAAATTTCAAGAAGAGATCAAAACAAAAAGAAATTCTGGAGCCAGAACTACAATAACTGAAATGAAAAGTTCACGAGGGATTTGAAGGCAGACTTGAGCAGGCGCCAGAAGGAATCAGTGAACTTGAAGGTAGAACAATGGAAATCATTGAGTGTAAGGAAGAGGAAGGACAGAGATTGAAGGAAAACGGAGTCTAGAGACCCCGGGGACATGGAGAGGGAGCCAGCATGCACGTCATGTCAGGGGAGCCCCAGGAGGAAGAGTGAGGAGGGGCTGAGAGAGTGCCAAGGGATGGCTGAAGACTTTCCAGGTTTGATGACTGACATCCAAGAAACTCCTTGAATT